AGCCCCAACTTAAGCATTATAAAAGGCACCCATGTAACAAAAACATCGTACCCCCTTAATATTTTGAAATGAGAAAAAAAAAAGATCAAAAAGAAAAAGAAAAAAATACTTAATTACTTCAATGTCCATGTCTTATATTCTAATATATGTGGTTGTAAAGGATCTATTTTTGCCTTCTGTTTTTTCTGCTTGTTCTCACAGATGATACCTTGCTTCTTAGTATGTTTTATGACTTTGTTTTACAGTGAATTACTCATTTTTGTTGGAACTTTATCTGTGGGAATTCTTGGAGGCCTGGATTGAGTTTGCATTCTTTCAGAGAGGAATTACATTTATGTCTCTCAGTCAACTACAGGCCTAACAACAAGGGACCACTTTAAATAATCCTTGGCTTGCATTTTTCCTTGTAGAAAACATTAAACCCAGATGATGATCAGTTTGTGGTTACAAATTTTCAAATGATTCTTTTCCCCAACACCCAACACCCAGGTCAGGATATACATGCACATTTTTCTTGTTGTCTCTCTTTTTTTGCAGTGTTTGCTTTTCTCATTCACCTTGCTCTGAGGGTGGAGTCCCAGCTTTTTGTGAGGGTCTCATACTTGATCCCTTGCTTTTGGTAGACTTCAGCTTCGCTTTCTGTTCTCCAAGCACCACATGAGGATTAAGGTAGGAGTTAATCCTACCTTATTCTACACTCAATTCTCGAGTGTTTGGCAGAAAACCTTAAGGTTTTCTGGGGGTTGCTCTTTTCTTGGGGTTCCTGCTTTTATATCATTTATGGCTCTGTGGATTCTTTCTGCTTTCTGTTTTCTAGAGTTCAGAGAAACAACTAAAATAACATGTGTTTTTTTAAAAAATATTTTAAATTGTCTTTTTATTGTTCAGTTGGGAAAGTATGGTAAATGATTACATTAATGGCCCCCAGAGCATTGTTTCCCTACGCCAGTGCTCCTTTACAATGTGACTTCATTGCTCCAGCTCTTGCAGTGAAGAAATGGGGTCAGTTTCTCCATCCTTTGATTCGGGGCTGGCCTATGACTTGCTTTGACCAGTAGAATGTGGTGTAAGAGACATTTGTTTTTGCTTTTCTGGAGAACTTTGAAAATCATGTGAACAAGTTCTAGATGAAAGACCACCATCTGGAGCAGAAAGATTGAGCCATCCCAGCCATCTCAGCTGAGACCACAGACATGGCAGTGAGGACATCTGAGAATGGCCGTTCTCCCCACAGCCCACCTACTAAATGTAGCTGCATGAGTGAACTCAGGTGAGACAAGCAAAAGAACCTTCCAGCCAACTCACAGAATAGTGAGAAATAATAAATCATTGCTGTTTTAAGCCACTCAGTATTGGGGTGGTTTGTCACACATCAATAGAAACTGTTACAAAGGGTTATTAGTGATATCTAATCTACCCTATTGCTGGAAAAAGATGTCCCCAGTGTTGAGTGTCGGAATCTAAAGGCGTGAGGATGGCATCCATGTTGGGTGAGGTAGGTGGGGAGTACTGAAGAGAAAGTGATTATGATGAGGGGATTGAACAAATACTATATTAAGAATAATGGGAGCCAGTTTTCTCACTGTTGGAGATGGGAGTTAGAGAAAACTAGAACGAATCTAAGGGTGTTTGAATGGATTTGGATGTGCCAATATAAATTTATGGTTTTATATATATATATATATATATAGAGAGAGAGAGAGAGAGAGAGAGATGTAAACATATGTGTGTATACATACATATGTCACCTAACTCTGTCCATTAACATGTATTGAGATAAGTCGCATCTCAAGAACAATGAGTATACCTTGTACCCAGATCTTGACTTCTAAAAACCTTTCTCCACTAAAAGGAACTATGTCTATTTGGAAAAATGTCTGGTTCAAGGGCCGGCCAAGGAACGTATCAGATGTGCTTGGAACATTTTTGGTGTCAGAAAGTTGCAAAGTGCTCAAAAAATGATGGAGACATTTCAAAAGAACATAGAAGCCAGATGAAGGGGCTCTGAGTGACCAAATATGGCATGACTTATTATCAAAATAAATAATGACAGTAATGGATTATTACCCCTTGAATAAAATAGGAGTCTAAGCATCCCTATGATATAAAAAATAAATAAATACAGTGAAAATTCGATAACACACAGAATAGTTATGTGGTATCAAAGTACCACCTCATAAATTACTTATCAATTACACACACAAAAATAGAGTAACTTCACAGTGGAGAAGCATGGCAAACACCAATTTAATCAAGTGATTAAATCACCCATCAAAATGTATCAATAACAGCAGTGATGTTTTCCTGGTATGCAGTTCTTTGCATTTCCCAGCCCCCATTCACACAGGTCATTCCAGCATCTTCCAAAGAGGTGTATTGTTTTTTAGTGCACCACCTTCATCAATGGGGCATTTACAAAGCCAATAGCCCTGACACTCTCTATTTCATAGCATTCCTTACAGGAGGTTTATTTAAAATAGTGCTGCATAGTTTACCACTGGCCCCTTTGAAGTGATGTTGGGATAGGTCAGTGTAGCCGTCAATCAACCAATATTTCAGTTTCCACTATGCACAAAATTCTCCATCTAAAAACGCTTGAGAGTGCAAAGTTGTGAGTGCTAATTCCTCACTAGGAAGCACTCTGAAATTCAACTAGGGAGAGAAGATAAATATACATACAACAATACACAGTAGCATCAGGCAATCTGTACACAATGGTGGTAGTCAAGAGAACGGGGTCACGATGGGCTTCATCATCAGAGAGACTTCATCAAGAAGTAGGGACTTGAGCTCATCCTCCAATGATGGATAGGATGTATACAAAGCAAATATTTATGTCAAGAGAAAAAATTGTAATAAAGATGCCAGGACAGGAATGCTTTAGACATTTCTGGCAGAGAGTGAAAAGGTAAGTGTGGTTAGAAGGTGACAAGGAGAAAAATGGATAAGAGGTCAGGTGAGGTGGCTCACACCTGTAATCCTAGCATTCAGGGAGGCTGAGCTTGGGAGGATCACTTGAGGTCAGGAGTTCAAGACCAACCTGAGCAAGAGCAAGACCTCCGTCTCTACTAAAAATAGAAAGAAACTAAAATGGAAAAAAAATTAGCCAGGCATGGTGGCACATCCCTGTAGCCCCAGCTACTCAGGAGGCTGAGGCAGGAGGATCGCTTGAACCCAGGAGTCTGAGGTTGCTGTGAGCTAGGCTGGTGCCATGGCACTCTATCCTGGGTAACAAAGTGAGACTCTGGGGGAAAAAAAATGATAAGAAGTTAGACCAGGAACCAGTTGTGGAGAGCCTTGAATGCATATCCTGAACAAATTTTATTAAATGGGAAGACACTGAGTCAGATTAGAGCCAGATTAGAGCCAGGGGAATGAGGATATATAGTCTTTTTGTAGACAACTCCCTAAAACCATTGGTAGGGGGAAAAATAATGAAGATGGGAGGGTGGCCCTAAAGGGTCAATTAAAATTGTTAACAACATTGGAGAAGTTGTGCATACTTGAAGGCTGAAGAAACAGTGCTAGTGGAGAGAGAAAGATGGAAGATAATAGAATAATTAGCGAAGCAAGTTTTCCAGTGAGGTGACGGGGCAGAGAGTCCGGAAGACATATGTTGATGGAGAAGGGTTATCTTTGAGAAGGAGGGAAATGACATACTCTGAGACAAGAGGAATAGAGACTGACCTAAGTGCAGACATGGACTAGTTTGAAGCAGGAAGGAGGGTAAAAGATGTGTTGTCCTGGGCTAGGCTGAGACTCAGTGGGTTCAGGGCAGCAGGTGATGAGTAGTCTGGTTTAGAAGGTGCTGGTGGTTATTTAAAGTGAGACTGATAGCTCAGAGGACAGATGGGAAGAGGCAGAAAACCTGATGAGAGCACAGACCTGCAGAGCTGATTCCATACCCAGAGCCCCATAATTAGGGACCATTTTCTACAGGTGACTTGGAGCTTTTTGTTGGGTGGATAAGTTCCTCTTACTCATACAGAGGGTGGAGACACTCCAGCCCTTTGTTTTGCCTTCCTCTATGACCTTGAAAATTTCAGGGGCTAGGATTACCTAGGTTCTCTGGCAGCACTATCCAGTGGAATTTTCTGTGATGATAGAAATGCTCTATATTTGCACTTTCCAATATGGTAGCTACTAGCCACATGTGAGTTTTGAGTGCTTGAAGTGTGACTAGTATGATTGAAGAATTACATTTTTAAGTTTTACATAATTTAATTAATTGATTTTATTTTATTTATTTTTTATATTTTAGAAGACAATGAAACAAGAGATCTCACTTTATTATTTATCTTTATCAAATTAATCTGGAGCATATGAGTTATACTTTGACATTATATAACAAGTTATTAATAGAAACCATAGAAGTCAAAAACCTTATATTCTCCAATCTCCCAATCAACTTTTCTTAGATTTTTGAAGACATAAAAACAAAAATCATTTCAAATAACAGCACTCAAACACCATATACATTTGCAATGAGGTGTAGCAATTTTAAACCTCATATATTCCAGGTTTTAGCTAAAATAACCCTTACAGTTTTCTTATGTTTCTGTTAGCCTTGTTTTGGGGCTACTTTGCCTTAGTGGGAATAAAGAGAAGACAGTATTAAAATATGCTAACAATCCATACTGAGAACACAGCACAGGTGGGTTTCTAACTCCTTAGGGACATGTGGAAACCCGACACCTTCCGAGAACCCTGGTGGGTGCCTCTAGTTATTTATTTATTTTTTGAGACAGAGTCTCACTTCTGTTGCCCTGGCTGGAGTGCCGTGGCATCAGCTTAGCTCACAGCAACCTCAAACTCCTGGGCTCAAGTGATACTCCTGCCTCAGCCTCCCTAGTAGCTGGGACTACCGGGATGTGCCACCATGCCCAGCTAATTTTATATATATATATATATTTAGTTAGCCAGTTAACTTATTTCCATTTATAGTAGAGATGGGGTCTCGCTCTTGCTCAGGCTGGTCTCAAACTCCTGACCTTGAGCAATCCACCGGTCTAGGCCTCCCAGAGTGCTAGGATTACAGGTGTGATTTAAATAGCTACAAGTGACTAATGATCCCATTCAATAGAACAGCTATTGAATGGTCCCTTTCTCCTTAACGAGGAAAGAGATAGGACCTTCTTCAGGAATAGAGGACAGCATGGGGCCAGAGAGAAGATTTTGCTGATGAGAGGAAATAGTCTTCCCAGTGATTGCTGTAGGTGAGCCCACCATGAGTAGGTTTATAATTTCAGATGCTCCATATTCTCTTCACTTTGCTCATGATGAGCAAGCTCACAAAGACCAACTATTTAGGAGATTTTTTTTTATTTTTTATTTTAAATCTTTTTATTATTTTTTTCCAGATACTTGTCCCTGTATATAGACACAAGGGAGATTTTTTAATGACGAGATTCTGAATATTCTTTCACCTTAAGGACAGTCCTGTCCTTAAATCCATACATCTGGGATACATAATTAGCTCTTCCAAGGATACTTGATGAGGAAATGTGGAAACACAGAGATTACTTTACCAAGGTCAAAGAAGCTCCTGTTCCTCTTTTGTGGTTACACAGAGAATGTCTGAAGTCCTAGAAATAGTCTTGGCTTAGAATCAGAGAGACATGGATTCACATTTTGGTCCTGGAACAAGTTATCCAACTCTTTGACTTTCCGTTTGCCATCTGTAAAATGGAAAGAACAATACCTGCCTTAAAGGATTGTTGTGGGTGTTACATATAATTAATAACTTATTCATATTTATTCCACACTTATGTGCCAGGTAATATGTTAGGTATTAGGGAAAAAAATGATGTGCAAAGAAGATAGGATTCTTGTTCCAAAAAACCTTATGTTTTAGTATGGGAAGTGTCTTAGTTCCTTTTGTGTTGCTATAATAGATCTAGAGTGAGCCTAGGAGAAAGCCTAGGATCCAGAACTATGAAATGTAATGGCTAGCTAGAGGAGCATGGGTCAGCCAAGCAAAACGAGATAGAGCAGCCACAGAAGTAGGAATAGTAGCCATAGAACACGTATGGCTGGGTAATTTATAAAGAAAAGAGGGCCAGGTGCTGTGGCTCATGCCTGTAATGCTAGCACTCTGGGAGCCCAAGGTGGGAGGATTGCTTGAGCTCAGGAGTTCAAGACCAGTCTGAGCAAGAGTAAGACCCCTATAAATAGAAAGAAATTAGTGAAACAACTAAAAATGGAAAAAATTAGCTAGGCATGGTAGTGCGTGCCTGTAGTCCCAGCTACCTGGGAGGCCGAGGCAGGAAGATCCCTTGAGACCAGGAGTTTGAAGTTGCTGTGAGGTAGGCTGATGCCATGGCACTCTAGTCCAGGCAACAGAGTGAGACTCTGTCTCAAAAAAAAAAAAAAGAAAGAAATAAAGAAAGAAAGAAAATAAAAAGAAAAAAAGAAAAGAGGTTTATTTGACTTATAGTTCTACAGGCTGGGAAGTTCAAGAGCATGGTGCTAGCTTCTGGTGAGGGCTTTCCTGCTGTGTCAGAACATGGTGGAAGCTCAAAGGGGAAATGAACATGTGTGAAGGGGCCCAACATGAAAAGCATCCTTGCTTTATAGCAACCTGTTCTTGTGGGAATTAATCCAGTTTAGTGAGAACAAGAAGTCCCTATTGCAAGAACAGCACCAAGGCACTCATGAGGTATCCACTCCCATAACCCAAACACCTTCCATTAGGCCCCACCTCTTAAGGTTCCACCTCTCAACATTGTTACATCAGTAATTAAATTTCAACATGAGTTTTGAGGAGGACAAACCATATCCAAACAATAGCAGGGAGGTAGGCATTAATCAAATAATCATACAAGTATATACTATATTTTTATAATATAATTATATGTTATATAAAATTACAGATTGTGATAAGTCCAGGAAGGGAGAGTAAAGGTGAAGTGATGTTTGAAATATACCTGCAGATTTTTTGACACTCTCCCTCTAAAAGGCAGAATCTAATTCCACCCCCCCCCTGCCCCAATTGGAGCCAATCTTAGTGACTCACTTCTAACAAATAGAATATGCCAAAAGTCATGCTATGTGGCTTCTGAGGCTGGTTCATACAGAAAGATACAGCTTCTGCTCACTCTCTCTCACTCTCCTTCCCTCGCTCTCTCTCCCCCTCAATGCTTGACTTTGCAATCAAGTCAACATGCTGTGGGGAAGCCCAGGAAATATGGAGAGGCCCACGTAGAGGGGAAGCTCTCATCAACAGCCAATACCAACTTGCCAGCCACACAAGTGAGCAGTCTTGAAGTGGAAACTACAATCCCAGTCAAACCTTCAGATAACTGCATTCCTGGCTAACATCTGACTGGAGTCCCTTGAGAAACCACATGCCAGAACCACCTAGCCATGCCATTACCAGACACAAAAATGGTGAGAAATAATAAATGGTGATTACTATCTTAAGACATTAAGTTTTGGAGAGATTTGTTACCCAGCATTAGATAATTAATACAATAGAAAACCAGGAGATAAAGTCTGGGGAATCAGGAAAGACTTGCTCAGTGAGATAACATTTGAGCCAATCACAGGAGAGGAATTAATTAGCTAAGAGGGGAGAAGGTATTCCAAGGAGCTATACTAACATACACAAGGGCCCTGTGGGCAAATGATAAATTGGAGGAATTAAAAGTTATCTAGTGTGGGAGGAACACATCATTGGGAGGGAGAGATACAAGGTGTCTGAAAAGGTGGGAGGGGGGAGGGTTAGATCATTGCAGTCCCTAGGAAGACTTTTTTTTCTAAATATGATAGAATGTTCTTGAAGGGTGTTCATCAGGTAGGGGTATATCAAGCCTGACATCTAGGTTTCTGGTGACTTCCCAGATATGGAAAATATCTGAGAGGGATCATGTTTGTAGTGGAAGACCATGGTTTTGGACAGGTTGTTCGAGAGACTTTTGAGATACCCAGATGGTGATATCAAGCAAGAGATTAGATATACTGATCTGTGGTTCCAAAGAGAGATATGGGTTACATGTGCATGTTTGGAAGGCAACAGCAAACAAATAGTAACAGAAACCAAAGCAGTGAATAGCTTAGCTGAAGACAGGATCTAGAGTGAGCCTAGGAGAAAGCCTAGGATCCAGAACTATGAAATGTAATGGCTAGCTAGAGGAGCATGGGTCAGCCAAGCAAAACGAGATAGAGCAGCCACAGAAGTAGGAATAAAGTGAGTAGATTGCCTCAGGGAGGTGGTGGGCAGTCATGTCACATAATCCAAGTAAGACGGGGTGGATGAAAGGTCCATTGAACTAGCTACACTGAGTCATGAAAGCCAGAACAACTGTTTTGATGCAATAAGTGATAGGTGCAGAAGCTCATTTGGAGAGGGTTGAGAAGTAAGCCAGAGGTAAAGAAATAGAGGCAATGAGGCCAGACAATTCCTTCCAGAAGCTTTGCTGGAAAGGGTGGGGAGTGCAGTAGCTGAGGATGAGGTTAGAATAACAGAAAGTTATTTTGTGTTGTTGTTTTTAAGATGGGAGAGAGATTATGCGCGTTTGAATGCCGATGGAAAAGATCCAGTACAGAGTGAAGTTGAAGACCTGGAAGAGAGAAAAAACTATGTGTACAGAAAGGAGTATGAAAACATGAGAAGGGGTGAGACTCACAACCAGGTGAAGCCCCTGGCACATGGGAGACGTTTGAATACTGACAGCTCTCTTTAACATGGACTTTTAACTTAAAAAACAAAATTGTGAAATGTAACAGATAGGTAGAAAAGAATGCTGAAAACAAATACATAGCTTAATAAATCATTATAGTGAACATTCATGTGTCCAGACAAAAATAAAACATTACCAACTGTCCAGAACCCCCTACCCATGTTTCCCTTTTTAATTACAACACCTCCCTCTAGTGATAAGTGCTACCCCAGATTTATTGGTAATTACTTCCTGTTCTACCTAGTTTCCCCCTTGCTTTTTAAATGTGTATCCCTAAATAATGTTGTTAAATTTTGCTTGTTTTTGAACTTTATATAAACATGATTATACTATATGGATTCTTTTACTTTCTACTTCTTTTACTCAATCTTGTATTTTTAGGATTCATCCTGTTATTTATTGTATGTAGCTGTTGTTCATTCATTTTCATCCCTATATGGTATTCCATTGCATTATTCTATCACAATTCATTTATCCTTTCTACCATTAGTGGGCACTGGGTTCTTTCTTGTTTGGGTTTATCACAAAAATGCCCAATGAATATTCTTGTATCTGTGTCCTGGTGTACACATGTCTGGACTTTTCTAGGGTGTATTGCTAAGAATGGAACCTCTGGGCTGGGTGCGGTGGCTCACGCCTGTAATCTTAGCACTCTGGGAGGCCGAGGTGGGTGGACTGCTCGAGGTCAGGAGTTCGAAAGCAGCCTGAGCAAGAGCCAGACCCCGTCTCCACTATAAATAGAAAGAAATTAATTGGCCAACTAATATATATAAGAAAAAATTAGCCGGGCATGGTGGTGCATGCCTATAGTCCCAGCTACTCGGGAGACTGAGGCAGCAGGATTCCTTGAGCCCAGGAGCTTGAGGTTGCTGTGAGCTAGGCTGATGCCGTGGCACTCACTCTAGAAAAAAAAAAAAAAAAAAAAAAAGAATGGAACTTCTGGGTCACAAAGTATACATATCTTCAACTTCAGTAGCTAATACCAGACTTTTCCAAAGTGGTTGTACCAGTTCATACCTCTATAAGAAAAGGTGCTCAACCTAATTAGAATTAAGGTAAATTGTCTCATTATTATGAACACAGCTTTACTTGTCTTCCAAAGCAGTATCTCCCAGAGCCATGTGCTTCCTAGGGGTAAGTTCTAACACACTGGCTCTCCTTTCTAGCTTCAGGCTGACTCAGAGGTTGTCTCAGCAGGATTTGTTACCATCACGTGGATCCCTGTCAAGTTAGCGTCTTCCTTGCTAAGACTTGGGGGAACACACGCTCTCGTACCATTAGCGTTACACATGATTGTTGACTCTCAGGATAGGTCACCCCGCAGGTGGTTAATCTTTTTGTCCAGCATAGTGTGTGCTGCCTTTGGGCAGCTGAGTGGAAGGCTAAGAGCATGAATGACATCTGGAGCTGCACTGTCTGGGTCTGCATTCCTGCTCTCTACTTACTAGTTATGTGACCTTGATCAAGTTATCTCACCTCTCTGATCCTCAATGTGTTCACCTATAAAATGAGAATAACAACAGTACCTACCTCATAGGGGAGCTGTGGGGCTCAAATGAGGTAATACATGGAAAGTATTTAAAACAGCGCCTGGCATCTTATTGCTATGATTTATATCCATTTTAGCTTTGGCAACAGTAGAGGTCAGAGGTTATGAGCATAGGTTAAAAACATGAGTCAGATGGAATTCAGGTTCTGGCTCTGCTCTCTCCTGGTTATGTTACCATGAGCAAGTCATATAATCTCCCTACATCTCAGTTCCTCATCAGTATATGTTGGGGGTAACAATTGCTACCTTACACAGGTGCCGTAAGAATTGAGATGGCAAATGCAAAATGCTGAGTGCTGAGTATGGATGCAATACATGGTAGCTGCTGTCACTTTAGCAGGTGGCAGCTACTCTTCCTGCCCTCAGACACTGGTGGTGAACAGCTCATGGGCCCTAAACTCATATGTCCTATAGATGGTGGCTGGGGAGACTGAAAAAACGTGTGGAGCAGATAAAGTGGAGTGATGACAAAGACAGTCACTTACCATTTCTGTGCAGGTCTTCGGCAGGGTATACTTAGCTGAATGAATCCCGGTGTACCTTTTAGGGGCTCAGACAGGTAGGCATCACCAGTAACAAACATATGCTGGTAACTAAGACGGAGTACAAGCAGTGTGTCTGGAGCAAGGAGCTTCAGTGGTCCTATGGAAGAAATATCTAGTTTAGCAGCCTTCTTGGAGGAAAAAGTCTTAAAGATGAGTCTCAATATATGTGTTTGTAGCTGGGAGAAGTTGGAGAAAGTACTGGTCAGGAAGTCACAGCATGTTATGAAGAGCTTTAAATCCCAGGCCAGGGAATTTTTCCTTAATTCAGTAAGGCACAGGGAGGCATTATATTGCAAGGTGACTGAAAGATGTTCAGGTGTACTGGGCCAACAAATAGTAGTTTAGAAACCCAACCAGTTGCTGGCACTGCCATTGAACTTTATCTGGTGCTTTCTGAAGATGATATTTGGAGAGAGATATGCCTAGTATTAATGCCAAATCGATTATGTGTTTTCTAACATGTCTCCAAAACCCAGTGCCAAAGTGGCTGGGTTTATTATTGTAAACCTCACTGTATCACCTTACTATTGCCTAGGAACTAGAGATGAAGTGCACTTGTACTTGACTGTGGTATGAATACCAACACAGGTGGCAAAATTGTCTTGAACTAAATACAGGCACAACACAAGTGAGTGCAAGTAAGACTGGGGAAATCTGAACAAGATCGGTGGATTGCATCAGTGTCAATATTCTGATTGTGATATTCTATTATAGTTTTGGAAGACATTACCTGCGGGGAGAACTGGACAAAGTGAACAAAGGATTTCTCTGTTATTATTTTTTCTTTTACAACTGCACATTGACTCTTCAATTACCTCAACAAAAATTTAAATTAAACCTGCATTAGTAAAAGTTATGTTTTGTAGAAAATGTGCTGCAGTGAGTCACATTGTATTTTCCTCAGTTACTCATATTTAGCGATTCCTGGTGCACAATATAGGCGCCGTTATTTATCATTTATCCTGGGGCCCCAACTGGAAAAGCAAAGTGTCCAGAAGGAAAGAGATCCATTGTGCAGGAATTGCTTTGCGACTTTCAGTGTAATTGAAAATTACACTTATCTAAAACTTTAGACAGTTCTGTTCCCAGTGGGTCAACTTTAGCCCTGTTTTCTGATTTATCGACAGGGTCTACTATGTCTCTTTAGCGCCGTCATCTCCAGGGTTGAAATTACTCTTTTATTATTGAAATGAAGTTTCTAGACAAGGAAAGTAGTTGCGGGATAGAGCATTTTACAGATTCGAAAGTTCTTAGCGGATCCCTAACTTTCGAAAACGAGAACCAGCGAACTTAGTTTAAGTGCCTTGGAGAAGACGACAGTGCTAGCAGGGCAGGATTATGATGAAGTCTGTAATTATTCTTTTCTGCTATGCAGAAGGTTCTCCTTCCCAACAGGAGGACAGACGTCGACTTGAGCGAGAGCTGCGAACTTTCATAAAGTGAAAGGGAAGAGGGAAAGAAATGGCAGCCTGGAGTCTGCCGGGGAAGGCGTCCGCCGCACTGGAGAAAAACCACCTGAATGTCCAGGAAAGACACTGCCCTTCCCCACACTCGGAGACTTCCGCGAGTCCGGGAGCGCTCAGGGCGCCGTCCGCGCTTCCGCCTCCCGGATTAGGGAAACTGAGGCACGGCAGGCGCGGCGCCAGCCCCCAAGAGGAAACCCAAGCTTCCACAGCTCTCCGCGCGGGCGCAGGCACCTCCGAGCCACCCTGCGCGCGTCCGCCCCGCCCCAGCTCGGGACAAAGCCCGGAGCCCGCGCCGGGAGGGGGAGGGCGCTGCCCCGCGCGCCGCGCTCCCCCGTGGGCGCGAGACTCCGCCCCGCCGCCCCTCCGTGGGGAGCCGGCGCCCTAACAGCGAAGCGGCCGAGCCGGCCCGCCCCGAATCCCCATGACGTCACCCGCGGCGGCAGGCCCCGCCCCCGGTCCCGGGCGGCAGGCCGCATGACGTCACCGAGGCCCCACCCCTCCGGAGCGAGTTCGGTCCCGGCGTTCATTTCATTCCTGTCCTCATTCCGAACATTCTTAGCATCGCTCGCGCCGCGCCGCGCCGCCCGAGCCGAGCCGAGCCTCTGCAGCCGCCGCCGCGGCCCCGCCGCCCGCCGCGGGCGCCCACCAAGCACTTTGCAGACTCGCTTCCACCCTGCGGGCCATTCCGCGCGGCGGGGCCCGGGCCCGGGGCGGCGCGCCGGGGGACAGGCCATGCAGTGACGCCCCCCACCCCCTCCACCTTTGCCCAGAGCGCGGGCAGTAGCCCAGCGCGCCCAGCCGGCCCGGGGCAGGAGCGGTGCTAGGCAGGGGCGGGGTGGCCCGGCCCGGGATCGGGAGCCGGGGAAGGAGCCGGGCACCGAGCAGAGGGCGGGGGACGCGGCGCCGAAGTTTGCATCGCACTCGCGGGGCGCCGCGGCGGCTCTCTCGGCCGAGGTAAGTTGGCGCGCGGGGCGGATGCGGGGGTGCGGGGAGCGCACGGGCGGCGGGCGGCGGGGCCGGGCAGCGCGTCCCGCGCGGGCCGCTCTTTCTCTGCGGGCTGGGCTTTGTGTGAGGCCGACGGGCGGGCACGCGGAGGGCCGTGCCTGGCCCCCCGCCGCTCCCGCGCCCCTCCGAGGTGCGCGGCCGGGCGCCGCCGCGCGAGTTGCCGGGACGCCAAGTTGGCGCGCGCTGGGAGCCGCGCGGCAACAGGCTGCCCCGGCGGCGGCCCGGAGCGCCGGCCGCCGCCGCGCCCCCGCCGCGCCCCCCGCGCCGCCCCTTCCGCCGCCCGCTCGCGCGCACACGCACACACCCTCGGGCGCTTCTCGCGCGGTGCTCCGGGGAGCCAGAAGTTCGGAGCGAGCGCGGGCGGGTGAACCGCCGCCGCCGCCCCCGCCTCGGAGCCCGGAGCCGGCCCGACCCCCCCCCCCCCCCGCCCCCCGGTCGCCCCCGGGCGCCGGGGCCCCCGAGGCCGGCCCGGGGTCTGCGCCGAGTAGCGCCGCCGGCGGGGGCTCGCTCCTTCTTCCCAAAGATGAAAGAGGGAACGGTCGTCTTTGCCGCTTCTCCAGGACTGTTGCTGCCGCCGCCGCCGCCGCTTCATTGCACATTCAAGTGGAAAATTTTCAGGAGTCAGCAGAAACATTGTGTCCAAAAAGGACTGAGTCGCTGTTACCACCAAACCCTGGAGGAGACTCTCCCTGGAAAACTTCCCTTCGGTAGGAAATACAGAGGGATTTGTTTATTGGAAAAGAAATGATCCCCAGGAGGGGAGAAAATCAGGGTACACTTCCATTCTTTGTTCGTAGCAGCAGCACTTGTTTTCAAAGTCCAGAGGCCCACTTTAAAGAAAGTTCAACTTCTATGAGTTTCCTTAAAAAAATACGTTTGTATTTTTTAAAAAACCAAAGCAACATATTTAATGAGTCAAAAATAATGATAGGCTCACACCTCCCTTATCTTTCTGATGGGAAATAAAATCCAGATCAGAATTTTCTTTGCTTTTTGTCTTTCTCTTTAAAGATTTATTTAAAGTTGAATGGTGTCACTGTATAAAAATATTTATGAAACAATGAAATACCAGCCACCGGCGTTTCTCAGGAGGCTTGTTAACTTCTTAGAAGCAAGTGGCTTCCTGTGATTTGCAGAAATAAAAATTTACCTCCGTGAGCTCTGGAAACTTACAGACAGATGATGTTCCCGGAGCAGGCAATGTAAAAAGGCCGTATTTCAAAACAGTGCCTTGGAAGGACTGGTCTGTAAAATAAAGCCTGTCAGATTTCAAAATACTAAAAATAGAAAAATAAAAAAATAAAAACACTACAGGTATTGCAAAGGAGCAAAACACTATCAGTTCGTGACAATCGCAAGTTTCTGTCTCTCCATCGTCCACCTTGATTATTTTTTGAAGTCTGGGAGGTCTGATTGCTTGGGATGTGCCGGGTGCTTGCAGTGGTTACCTGCTTAGACACATCCCTCCCGGTAGGGAGGAGTGATCCGCTGTATTGTGAGAGCGGGCTTGGGCTCCTTTCTCTGAAGCCTGCGGTGAATCTTGCTGGCCTCTTATGGTGGGGCTTCTCTGCCAGGGTGCTCTGAGGCTAAGGTTGGAGAACAGTTCAGGCTGTGCAGGGTGCTTCGTCCTTTCACTGCTAGGGCTGTGCACTTCTGTAAATAGCAGGGTCCTTGGGCCTAAGCACATCTGAATGCTTTTAAGGGCCAGACATAGATCCAACTTTGGTAAGAATCTTTCCCCTTTAGAAGGAAATAGTAGAACTAATTACAAAGTGACTAGGGAAAGACAAATGGATTAGTTGAACCTTTGTCAACCGTGAGCTTTTGAATTGTTGATTATTTGGGGGGGAGGGAAGGCTTATTTTTCTAATCTCATTATTTCCATAAATGGTCACAGATATTTTTGTTTAGTATTTCTTTGTATGTGTAATTCTGTGTTGAACTCTCAGGTTTCAGATTTTAAACAGAGTTTACAGTTCTTTTTATTTATTGTTGGTATAAAAAAATGAACTGATAAGCTGTATCTATTACCAGTTCTAGCTGATGGTGTAAAAGTGCCAAAGTAGACCATTTTATTTTTTACTTTAGCGGCATTATTTGATCCGCATTTTTTAGGGGGAATATTAGAATTTTTTTTTTAACAAGTTTGAAACAAAACCAATGTGACTCTTTGCCTTGACAATAAGAAAATTTATAAGAAACACTCTTTGTGTAAATTCCTCCTCTGTGTGATTCTTTATGAAGTAATGAATTCCAGGGAACATGCCTGAGAGAGATTATTGGAAGTTTTTTTTTTTTTTTGCCTGCCTTTTCCCAAAACAAAAATGAGGACGCACCACGACATATACTTAATGAAATTTAATTTAAAGAGGGAGGACATCTTAGCTTACTTTGAACCAGACTGAAATGAATTTCTCACTGAGAGGCTTTTCCTTGCATTGTGGTACAATATGTGCCTAGGCCCCAGCAGCAAGCTAATTATACAGAAGGGCGGATTGGGGAGGGCGGTTTGGGGGGGTCAGTTTCCTCCTCCCCTTCTCATTTCCTCTCTCTCCCCCTATTTGCTTTATACAGCAAGAATTATATTTATGTACTCAACTTTGGAGACTGGCGTTTCCTTTGATTTAGAAAGAGGACAGATAACTCATAAGAAAAAAAATGTTGGAGTTTTTTCCTGCTTGAGCTTCAGCAATTTATAAACAATTTTGAATTTTGTTGTTTTCTAACAATACAGAGTAGCAAATATAAGGGCATTTTTTAAAGGAAAGTTTGGAAAGAATATACTTACAGTGTATCATCTGTGTTTAGATCGTATTTGTTGTCACATTTCAGCAGAAAAGTATGTAACCTGAGCACTTTAGAGAATGTAGATCCCAAATGTTAAATAGACCTTTGAAGATATGAGCCGTGCCAGTAACAGTGTTTTAAGGTCTTTTGCTTCTGAGATGGATTGAACTCTTACACATGGTGGTGGTATAAGAACCTGCACATCTGTGGGATTACTTTTCTCTCTAATCTCATGGTTATTATGTGTTAATTGTGAGCATAATTATACTACCTGCAAATGAAAATTGTGTTGTCTTATCACTTAAAAGGTTAGTGCAAATAACTGTGTGTATGACCCAAGGGACTTAAAAATGACCATGCTCACACACAGACAGTATGTGATAATACTTTTAAGTTTATATTTTAGGCATTTTTTCTTGTTCCCAATAGAGATCTTGTGAAAGGAAAAATAGGTATATGTTTCTGAGTGAAAGCTGTATTTAGAGGTTAAATCTGTTTAGTGATACAACTTTTAGGGTCTGTTTTCTCCAAAGACTGAAAAATACTGGCCAAAGCAATGTCCAACTTTCTCTGTAGAACTGCAAGAAAATCCAAGCCAACCTTTCTGTTAAATGCGGGCATTACAACTTCTCCTTTGGAGTTCAGTGACTGGAACTGCAGACTGCTAATGTCCTACTTCTGAACTCAGCAAGAAAAATATAAGGCTTATTCCCCTTTGACAAACTTGGACTCAGCTGCTGGGCGACTTGGGGACTGACTGATGGCTGGCACAATTTTTTTATAGCTGCGTGGTGCTTTTTCTTAATTTTATCTGTAGAAGACACAGATTACCTTGGGATATTTAAATTAGATCCCAAATCATGTTTGAACGCCCGTGATATATATTTTACTTTTTCATATTCATAGAGGTGATAAAATCAAGTAGTTCAGGTCCATCGTAAGCACCTAATGTTTCAGGGTTGGGCTTTTTGACAGATACCTAATTCAGACCCTGTTGTATTGCAGTTATTGTGTACATCTGAAATTAGGGAAGTTCGGAGCCTTCCCTCTTCTTGGGATAGTTTGTGGAATGCTAGAATATTTGGATTTAAATATTTGGAGTGTTTTTCTGTGGGCTTTTATTTTGTTGCAAAGCTGTGAACGATTGAATTCTCAGTCTGTAAGATTTGCATTATAAGCTTCCTTGACCCTGTTCCATATTTGAAATTGGGGTTGAAATTTGACCATTTATTCAGATGTATTGAGGCTTTGTAGTGGTGCAGAATAAGAATTTCAAAATATGTGTTTTTATTTTAGTCAAAGCAAATGGGATGCCCTGGTGGGTGGGTTTTCTAGACAATATTTCTTACACTGTATGTTACTCTCCACTCTTGAGCTCTTTTTTGTCTACTGACTTTTTGCATAGTTGGGAGGATTCT